AAACATGTAGAAACAATTATGGAAAACCACAGCTAGAAAATATAAAGGAGTCACAACAATGGATATTTCCAAATAAATGGTTACTTTATCTCAGAAGTGATAGATTATCACAGAAAATACAAAAGAAATCAAATAATCTGTAAAATGCATACTATGTGAATTTACTATAACTGGACTGGTGTACCTTGTTTTTATACTTCCATATGTTTATCAATTTGTGATTATGAAATCTTGATCCAAGTCATCTGTATTACTCCTCAAAATCCAGGCAAGTTTTCTGATTGCCATTAACTCTTCTCAGTTCCACACAGGTCCATAAAGCCATAAAAATTTTCATATCTAAGCTTTGTGTTAGCCAGGCCGCGGTTGTAAATGTTCCATCCGTCTATTTTACTTCCGGGTATTAGTTTATCCAATTTACTTCATGCTTGGGTTCACTGCCTTGTTTGAAAATGATTCTTTGCATAAAAGAATTTTTTTGTGAGGGGAATAACAAGATGGATAAGAGCTTGTGTGTGCCTGTCAGCAATCAGGGTGCCATCAATTCTGTATAGATTTCCAATACTATTGGCTGAGATGTAAACCATATTTGTATTGGTTCTCTAGTATGCTTCACTGTAGATGTCGTACGTTGATTTTAATACCGTTCTCCTGGTGTTAACTGTTTCCAAACAATTAGAATTTTGATTCATCTATAAAAGACTACTTTCCCTCCGCTTTTTCTCATCTCCTTGTTTGAAGTCTGATATTCACTTCAATCTTTTGGTTTGGTTATCTCTCCCAAGTTATGGTTTTGGAGCAGTTACACTGAGGCCGCTTCATGTTATTATTCTGGGGGTAGCATTCACGCCAGTATTTATAACTAGATCATTGGAAATATTGTTATCCATCACATAAACAACATACTCTGGGTTACTTAACATCCCTTTTGAAACGTTTGGTCCTTCTACCTCGAATGCTTCTGTTATCAACATTTCAATCTGTCGCATTGACTTCAATAGGTTTTTCATGAGGGATTTTTATACTGGAAACCATCATAAGTGAATCACAACACTTATGCTAAAAATAGTATGCCTGCCTTTACTTTTATAAGCATTATGCTGGTTAACACAAGCTGACTAGTTGGATAACAGAAAGTCACAGCGTAAACTATTGACACGTGACTGTTCTCGTGCAGTTCAGTTTCTTACGATACAGAGGGTGCAATCTCATAATATTTGTGTTATATTCACTAATTTATAATTACTCAATTATTATTTTCAATATATGTATATGTGTGTTAGACAACAGCAAAACAATTTCTTTGTTATTCACTCTTAAGAGGAAGTCATCTTAAAAGTTAATCTGTATAATGAAAGAGCTTGCAGATACATTATAGTTTTCAAATAAAATTATTATAATAATGAAGCAAACTTCATAAATGCGTAGTATAGAAAAACACCTCGTTTCTTTCTCCACGTGTTATTTGTATTTGATTCTAAATTAATCGTGTGTTCTGAATATGTGCAGGTTTTTTACGTAACACGTGGTTAGGAAAACCGTTGAGTTGATCGTGTTTCAAGTTACCTTTGCTTCGTTGTCGACTTCAAAGTTAGGTGAAAACTCTTACCGCCAGAGTTGAACATTACTACATGCCACCTTGTCTAAGATTACGGCGTTGTCTTTCAATGGTTGTACAGGTAAGTTCTAGAGATCACAGCCCAATCAATTTGGAATGAGAATCACAAGTCACGTGGTAATGTAGTCGATCTAGGTAAATGCGAGGTTTCGTTTTAGATAGAAATTACAAATAACTGGACTGAACACAAAGTGTACACTTAGAACACAATCTTTATCAAACACTTAAGATACTAAAACACACTGTGTAGACTGCTTACTTTTGTCGCTTCTTCACGGAGTCAAGAACAGGTCAATATACAATGAGAGTCGAAATGAAGAAGACAACTTAAACTCAGCCATTATACATTCAGCATCGTTCCGTAATATCTTATCTTGTTAAATCTCTTGTTACGCTGGCCTATCAGTTAAAGCTTAGATCTATATCAGTCCACCTGAGTATACCACAAATGTAAGATAATACAATATAATATACATATTACACCTTAGAATATACTTAATCAAACACCTAACACTATATATATATTGCAAACCGTGGAGTCTGTCTGAACGTTCGTCTGTCTCCCGTTTGAAAAGCTGCGCACGCAGGCAACGTTCTACATTTACTTTTGAAATGACGGGAGAAGAGACACGAATAATGTTGATGCCAAACTGTATTTCGCAAGCAGGATATTCTATAATACATTGTTAGGAATTAACCACACTATCTATCAGTCACAGTTCAAAATGTGAAGAAACCTAAAGAATAAAAACTTAAACTTTTCCCGGCACTGAGGACGGGTACTTGTGCTAGATTAACTTAAACTTTTCTCGTCACTGGAGATAGGTAATTGTGCTAAATTAGCTAAACTTTTCCTGCCACTGGGGACAGGTTCTTTTGCTTGTATATAATATGGTAATTTTGTGACACCACATTGTGTTTTATTAACAGTGAATTTTACAGATTTGGTGTTGTCACAAAGTATTCTATAAAACCAAATAAAATACATATGTTAACTTCATTATTTTGTTATCGTTTAGTAAATATATATATTTAGAAAAGAAATTTGCGAGTCCCAAGAAAATTATTTCACTTACAGCTCCATGTTGATAATTAATTATTCAAATAATAAACTTACAATGTTCTTCCACCAGAAAGGTTTTTTCCTCAACTTGTCGCTGAAAATTAAAACAAAATCGATATACTGAAATAAATTTAAAATCCAAACATAACAGTTACGTAGTATTCATTACTTGATTGATATTGAAATGTCATATATTTATATGTATGGGATGAACACGATTAACTTATTGTCATTTGAGGTTTCGGTACTTCTTACGTCACATATTCTGAAGCACATGAAATATTAATCTAAAATAGAGATATCACAATACAATGTATTTGATGAAGCCTTTTAACTACACTTCACTGTGTTGGAGTAATACACGTGGAAGTAATATTTTTTGTAGTTAACACTTCATAAAATAAAGAAATGTATCAAATATTATTTTCTTAACCAATCCACAATGTTAACGTTTATCAACAAATTTATTTCCATTCTCTTTAAACAACATTAAAATATGTCATCAGATTGTTCTCCTCTTTTGTTGAAACTAGCATTTTCACTTTATAGGTGAGTTTTTGGACAATAATATATATGTCATCAATGGTACAAGACGTAATCCTTGACATATACATACAAGAAGAAAAAGAGGAGATGCGTACTGATTATTTACATTGAACGATAAAGCGCGTGAAACAAAGCTCTATTTATTTCGTGCATATAAATAGCTGATTAGAAAAGCATTTCAAACCAACCTGAGCTACCACGCGAATGGTCCATGTTCCGTAAACAGGTCGATCCGCCAGTTCGTACGCTAAGCTCACAGCTCCTAAATAAAATAAGTTAGTAAATACGGAGTTAAAACCTAATATCATTTACTCTCTGTGTGCAAACAGAATCTCTGTATTCACTGACAACAAATGGACATAAAGAGATAAAACATTAATATAATCTGAGACATTCTATGCCATTAGCAGAGCTTAATTTATGCCGAATCTCGAGGGATTTGAGATCCGGAATCTGTTTTGGATTTCTTTTTCATCTAAAGGCGGAAACAGTATAATTAATTTTAAAACTGTCTCTGTTGTATTACGAGTTGATATTTGACTAACGTAGACAACTACATTGCTCCAATTCAACCCTATCTCAAATAATAGTCTCAATGACGTTTAGATTATTTGTTATCTTCGAAAATTCAAAATCAAAATCATCCCTCATCACTATCCACAGTACCTGGACGTATCAAAATCATACCTTATCACTAACAATAGTACCTGGACTTATCAAAATCATACCTTATCACTAACAATAGTACCTGGACTTATCAAAATCACCCCTCATCACTAACAATAGTACCTGGACGTATCAAAATCACCCCTTATCACTAACAATAGTACCTGGACTTATTAAAATCATACCTTATCACTAACAATAGTACCTGAACTTATCAAAATCACCC